GCCGGGCCGGGGCTTGTATCTTACCCCTTTCACCAGGTGCTGGGCTCTCGCACGTGTGAATGTAGTCTGGCTGTTGTCCTGTATCTTCTGGTCTCTCTTTTAGGATTAGTTGTTTTTGTTGTATTTTCAAAAATATATATGTTTTTGGGAGGAGATTCCCACTGTCCTCCTCATGCCGCCATGTTGGCTCCACCTTCCTCTTTCATTCTTAAAACAAGTCTGAGTGATCTTAGACTAAAACACAAAATCCTTAACAAGCCTCCTGGCCTCTCTAACTTCTTTTTACACCATTTGTGTTCTCTGAACCACACTTGGCCAAACTATTTCTCACCTCAGGGCCTCACACTCACGTGTGGTTTGCTCTGCTTGAAATGATATTCCTTTCCCTGGCTATGGGGTTGACTTGATTGCCTCTTTCAACCATCATCTTAAGAGGTACTTCCTCACTGAGTCTCACTGAGACTTCTCTGACCCCCAATATAAACTAGATGTCCTCTGTATTTACTTGCATAAAATGTTTTCTTCTCATTTAATGCATTTGTCAAAATTTGTATGATATGTTTTCCAGTGTATGTTTGTTTAATGGGTGTCTTCTAATTCTGTAAGCTCCATTAGGGTCAGGACCATGCCTATTTTATTCCCATATGCACAGTGCCTACCAGAATATATGAAATAGAATTGGTGCTCAGAAATATTTATGAGATGGGGAAAATCTTCAATTAAGGTATATGTTTCCCAAAAGTAAGTGTATTTACCAGTGCTGGATATACTGAAGATTAGGCTAAATAGGAAGGACATAAAGTCACTTATACTTAAAATATACTTATACTTAAAATAAGAATTTTAAGTACCCTTATAACTCAAATTCAAAGTGTTTCATTTTCACACCAAGACACAAGAAGCACAGCCTTAGATGCTTGATTCTTTTAAGAGTCTTAACTGTTAATAAGGACTCCTAGAATATTAAAGAGCTGTGGTTTGAGAGATTTATTCTACCTCTGTTCCATTCTATTCGAACACAAGAAAATCTTAACAATGAGATTTGTCTACTCCAGAAAGAACTTCCAAAGCAAAGCTCAAAACATTAATTTCCATTCAAATCACTAGATGAACCTTCAGTTCAACTTTGTACTGGCAGGGAGATATCCTGAAATAACATGTAGAAAGCTTTCCTAACTCTTGACTTACACAATAATTTCATATACGCTATGCCTGTCTTCAGGGGTATGTAAAACTTGCCATCTTGAAGATGACAGCTATAACGTTACCTCATGAGAAACTTAGAACTATTGTCAAGTTCTGATTCTTTGAGTACAGTGGAACCAGTTATAATGATTTTAATTTCATCATATTGCACCTGGCTTCAGAAATAGAACAAATCAACCCACGACCCCAGATCACAACCCATTATCCCCAAGGTGAAAAATGTCTCTTGCAAAAACTAGTGTTGTTTGTATCATTTAAGCACATCTTTTTGTTAAACTCAAAGCTAATAAAGTGATACCATGCATATTTAAAACTTTTAGGTTTAGTTTATCAGCTATGACAGAGTATAGATCTACGTAAGTGTAAATTTAGGTAAGGCACCTTGATTACTGTTGGGATTTGTGTATGACAGTTAATTACATTCTTCTCCCTTCCCTTTAATTCTGAACCAACTAAGAAGCACACACAGTATTCAGGTACACAGAAATTTTTTTAAATAGATGTTTTATTACTGATAAAATTGGTATCCTAAAAGGATTTTGAATAACTTTAGCTTGAAAGTCAGGTACACTCCCATAACAGCAGCACAGAACCTGCTTTGGTAAATTTATTTTGTGGAAGAGAAGAGATTGTGTGCTTTCTAAGGACATGCCAATCCAAAAAAGCAGCAAGGAAGAGGCCAGACTGAGTATTCTAATCCCACAAATTAAATAAATTGCTTTGCTTCTCATTGTAAGAGGTAACTAGTAAGATGGAAAGAAGGTTTAAAATTCTATTCCCAGTGTTACTCCTTCCTGATTGGTGGAACATATTTTTTGTAGGCTAAGAGTGAAATTCAAAAGGAGACCATATCATAGTCCCAGTTAACAACTTTCTTGCTTTTCCTAGCTATCTCTAACTCTTTTACAGTTTACAGTTTAAACACCTGTTTCTGTTACAAGCTTCCCTGACCACATAGTTATTTAGCCACATGAGCCTAAACTTTTCAACTTCTGAAGCTGCTAATTTTCTGACCAGATACATGCCCCAAGAAGCTTCAGCTGATTGACTTTTATTAGTCAAAACAAATACAACCAAAGGAAAACATTCTCACTTGAGGAAGATACAACATAGAGCTTAAACGGGTTTTTGTTCTGTTTCCTTTCCCCCTTCAGCCGTGTTGAGTTTAACAAATGCTTATTAGTGTAGCAGAAAAAGCTTGACATTTTTGCCTCTGTGCTGTATTTGTCTCCTTTGCTGCTTTAACCTTTAGGCCAAAGACAAAAGAAAAAATCAAAAAACAAGAAGATGAAAAAGACTTTTGTTCAGCCCTGCAGCTGTGCATATAATCTTGTTAATAATCATCAAAAGGAATTTTGTGTACAGTTTGAGATACCTGCAAGTAGCTCCTTTCCCAAAGCCTGCTTCCCCCGAGGAAATAAGGAAATATATGCCAAGTAATAATTGTCCTGTCAAAGAGTTTTAGGAACGTCCTGGCCAGAATTATGCCAGGAGAGTCAGCTAACCAAGGACACAGAGTTTCTCAGCACTCCTGTGTCCCTCACCGGTGCCCAGGTTTCACAGCATTTATCATCATCTAGTTATATTTAAAACATATTTGTTTACCTGTTTTTGTCTATCTTCCTACTAAAATGCAAATGTTTTTGTTCAAGTGACATTTCACTTTAGCATTCTATTGGCCTTCAATATCATGGAATAAAGTCCACCCAAACCTGAACTTCCTTGGGTGTTTATCCCAGAGAAATGAAAACTTATGTTCACTCAAAAACCTGTTTATGAATGTTTATATAGAAGGTTTATTCATAGCCCCAAACTGGAAAAAATGGAAGTACTTTGATGCAAAAATGGTTAAATAAATGGTGGTATATCTATGCCATGGAATACTACATAGCAATATGAAGGAATCATTGGCTATTGATATAGCAACTTGGATGGATCTCAAGGAAATTGTGCTGAATGAAAAAAGACCAATCACAAAGACTACATATTATTTGATCCCATTTCTACAACATTCTTGAAATGAGAAAAACATTTAGAGGTGGAGAACAGACTGGTGCCAGATGATAGAGATTGGAGTTTGATGTGGCTACAAAGGGATAATAGTCCACTATCATAGTTGTAGTACTTGCAGAAATCAACACATATATTAAAATTGCATAGAGCTATCTATGCACAATATAAGGGCCTGTAAGAATAGTGAAATATGTGTAAGATATATGAATTTAATCAGGATCCATTTTTCATTTTGACATTGTACTACAGTTACAGAAGATGTTACTATTGGGGGAAACTGGATGAAGGGTACACAGGATCTCTGTGCATTTCCCCCCTCCTATTGTATATTCCTTTATTTGGTGAGTACTTATTGAGAATCTGACATGTGAATTCAGTGTCCACAGCTTGAATCAGATTTCTATGTAGTAGATAAAAACAGATAAAATAATCACATTAATCATACGAAATCACACACTGTAATAAAAGCAAAAAATGACAAGTTATGGGGTAGGGGCTTTGCATATTAGTAAAGATTTAGGGGAAGATCTAGGGAATCCTAGCGTCCCTACTACCCTGGAACACAGCAGGGAACTCATGGCCTGAACAACCTATGGCTCCACTCATGACCCAGAGCCACTTGTGTGTGTGGGTATGTTTGTGTGTGTATATGTGAGTATGTGTATGTGATAAAATTCAAATGACATAAAGTTCACTCTAAACCATTTTAAAGTGTACAGTTCAGTTACTCTTAGTATATTCACAGAGTTGGGCAACCATCGCTATTATCTAACTTCAGAATACTTTTGTTACCCTTAGAGGAAATCTTATGCCTGTTAAGATTGTATGAGTCTTAAGCCCATTTCCCCCTCCCCCACTTCTAGTGATTCATCTTCTTTTTGTCTTTATGGAGTTGTCTATTCTAGATATTTCGTCTAAGTGCAATCATATCATTGGTGGCTTTTCATGTTTGGGTCTTTCACTTAGTGTAAAGTTTTCAAGATCCATCCATGCTAGAGCAGGTATCAGTGCTTCATTCTGTTTTTTATGACCAAATAATATTTCATTGTATGAATATACCACTTTTGTTTATCCAATCAGATAATGAACATTTGGATTATTTCCACTATTTCACTATTATTAATAAAGCTGGTATAAATATGCATAAATATGCATGTACAAGTATTTATTTTGTTTAACATATGTTTTCAAATCTCTTAGAAATGCTAAAGTGGAAATGCTGGGTAATTCTGTGTTCAACTTTCTGATTAGTCTATCGCTTGTTCCAGCTGTTATCATTTGCCCAAGCAGCAGCAACTACTGGATCTGACAAATTCTGACAAATGCTACAGGGCAGGCTCCTCAGCCCTGGGAGAGTTCTAGGTCAGACAAAATAGAGACATGCCCTTTGGGCCAGGCATTCAAGGAGCCACCAGACAAGTCAAAATGAGCAACGATTCTTTGAAATTAAGGGCCACTCTATTCTACCTGGCATTAAAAACTTGGACAGGAAATGCAGGCTGCTGTCTTTGAGACCATCACCCAACTGGGGGTGAGGGGACAGGCTCAAGGAAGGTTGAGATGCTCCAGAGCTATATCTCACTGTGATTCAGCTATGCTTCTCCTCGACTGAGCATTCACTTGGCTGCTGTAAGCTTTTGAGTAGTATTCAGAATTCCAAAAAAGTTAATTCTGGCTGTTTTGTCAGTTAATTCACTATTTTTATTGGTGAGAGACTTTTGCAGTTCCCTACTAGGCCATTTTCATTAACATCTAATCTTTGTATGTATTTTTGTAACTTCTTATGAATCTATAATTATTTCAAAATAAAATTAAAAAGAAAAAACTGACCTTTCATATATATATTTGATGAATTTATTTAACAAAACATAATAAGAAATAAAATACCAACAGCTAATAGAGTACTGTTTAAAACTTATTTTTGCACCCTTCTAAAAGTCAAAATGTTAAACCACAAACATTTTCCTCTTTTACTTAAAAAAAATTGGTAGAGTATAGTAGCACAGATACATTATGTTAAAATTATTATTGATTTAATGTGGATTTATTCTATTTTTACCCCAATATTATGAGACATTAAGTATCTTTTACTATCTTCAAAGTAGGTGAGCAAAGCTTTGATGCAGAATGCAAAAAATAGATATTTTTCTATTTTTGTAGATAGGAATAAAAAAGTAGGGCATATTTTTTAAATGTAAAAATAGACAAGAGAACTTGAACACAGCAATTACTTAAGCTGCCTATCAGTATGTTTCTATTTTATTTCCTTTGAGACAGTGTTGCTTTCTATATTTGTATGAGAAATATTTAACTTGTAGTTTCTTTAAAGAGGCATTTATTTCAAGTGATAGTAAGTGCTGATTCTGCAATTATTGCTAATTGGAGTATTTCCAATTTCCTTCCTGTGTTGAAAACCTCATGATTCTGTCATTATTCCTTTCTTTTTTGTACTTCAATTTTGTGTAATACAAAATACACTGAACTAAAATTACACTTTCAAATACATAATATAACTCAACTGTTTTCTATGCTTCACAGATGATGGAAACTCAGCAGTGACAGATGCTGCATACCGATGACTCCTCCATGCCAGTTGGTCAGAATCGTGTAAAGGTCATTTGTGGTAATGAATTTTATTTTACTAAAATAATAAAGTAGGTTTCAGTTTAAGTAAGAATTTACAACATACATTTGAAAAGGAAATCATGATACATCATTTATTCATTTTTTATTAAAAATAAAAAACACATATTTAAGATGTACAACATGATGATTTCATATACATATATAGTGAAATGATTAGTACAGTCAAGCTAATTAACATATTATTTCCTCACATAGTTACCTTTGTGTGTGTTGAAAGGACTTGAAATCTACTCTTATATATTCAATCCAGAATTCAGTACATATTATTACTATAAGCATCATGCTATATATTAGATCCCTAGATTTCTTTATCCTACATAACTAAATGCAACTTTGTACCCTCTAACTAATATCTCTCCATTTCCCCCACCTCCCCACTATCCTACTCTCTGCTTCTGATTATTCAGCTTATTTAGATCCCACATGTAGGTGAGGCCACTCAGTATTTTTCTTTCTGTGTCTGACTTATTTCACTTAGCATAATGTGCAATTTCGTTTATGTTGTCACAAAGGTAAAGATCTTCTTTTCTAAGGCTGAATAGCATATACATAGAAATAACTCCCAAGGTCTTTATCCATTCATCTATCAACAGACATTTAAGTTGTTTCCGTATCTTGGCTATTGTGAATAAGGCTGCAATGAACATGAGAGCACAGATATCTCTTTGAGGTCCTGCTTTCATTTCCTCTGGGTATATACCCAGAAGAAGCATTGATAGATCACGTAATATTTCTATCTGTACTTTTTTGAGGAACCTCTATGATGTTTTCTATAATGGCTTTCCCATGAAAGTATACAAGGGTTCCTTTTTCTCCACATCCTTAACATGTTATCTTTTATTTTTTTTTATAACAACTACCCTATTAACTGTGAGGTGAGACGTCCTTGTGGTTATGATTTCCATTTACCTGATGATCAGTTATATTGAACACCTTTTCATACATCTGTTGGCTATTTTTGTCTTCTTTAGAAAATATCTACTCAGGTCCTCTGCCCATTTTTATTGGAATTGCTTATCTGTTTGTTTTCTATTGGGTAAACTTATTTAGTCACCAATTTGTTGCAGAAGTAAATGCAGTAGTAATTAAATGGGCTGCTTTAATATTAATTTCATTCATTCACAGAACGATTAGATACTGTGTTAGACATTGGGGAAAGGGGAAAGAAATGGTATATTTCATCACTTTACTTGGAATTTATTTTTTAATTTTTTAAATTTTTTAAATTTTATTTTGGTATCATTAATCTACAATTACATGAAAGACATTATGTTTACTAGGCTTCCCCCTTCACCAAGTCCCCCCCACATCCTTGTTCACAGTCACTGTCCATCAACACAGTAAGATGCTGTAAAATCACTACTTGTCTTCTCTGTGTTGCACAGCCCTCCCCGTGCCCCCCCAACACTATACATGCTAATCGTAATGCCCCCTTTCTTTTCTTCCCGCCCTTATCCCTCTCTTCCCACCCGTCCTCCCCAGTCCCTTTCCCTTTGGTAACTATTAGTCCATTCTTGGGTTCTGTGATTCTGCTGCTGTTTTGTTCGTTCATTTTTCTTTTGTTCTCATACTCAACATATGAGTGAAATCATTTGATACTTGTCTTTCTCCACCTGGCTTATTTCACTGAGCATAATACCCTCTAGGTCCATCCATGTTGTTGCGAATGGTAGGATTTGGTTTTTTCTTATGGCTGAATAAAATTCCATTGTGTATATGTACCACATCTTCTTTATCCATTCATCTACTGATGGACACGTAGGTTGCTTCCATATCTTGGCTATTGTAAATAGTGCAACAATAAACATAGGGGTGCATCTGTCTTTTTCAAACTGGAGTGCTGCATTCTTGGGGTAAATTCCTAGAAGTGGAAATCCTGGGTCAAATGGTATTCCTATTTTGAGCATTTTGAGGAACCTCCATACTGCTTTCCACAATGGTTGAACTAATTTACATTCCCACCAGCAGTGTAGGAGGGTTCCCCTTTCTCCACAACCTCGCCAACATTTGTTGTTGTTTGTCTTTTGGATGGTAGCCATCCTTACTAGTGTGAGGTGATATCTCATTATGGTTTTAATTTGCATTTCCCTGATAACAAGCGATGTGGAGCATCTT